TGGGGGTTCATGAAATATCTTGAAGATATTGACAAAATGAAGTCTTATGATTGGTGCGACGCAGCAAAGCAACATCTCACAAAATCAATAGAAAGAAACATCAACCAAATTGATAAAGTGTCCGGATGTGTGATGGTCATATTGGTAAGTAAATATCTCACTTATAACTTATGAACTATAATATTTACATTTACTAAATACTTGTTTATAACAATTTTTTTCTTTCTTCAACAGTATTTGATATGCGAACACACAAGCACCATCAAACCCAATGCCAAAAATGCAATCCCAAGATTTGCTAAATGGAACATCACATGTTTGGGACAGAAATTGGCAAGTTCATCCTTGCAAGAGCTAAAAGATATTGTGGTATGCAATGCTAACCTTTGTTTTGTGTAAACAAATGATAGATTTTCTTATGCAGTGATAAATTTTTGTTCACACTGATATATTTATTTAATTTGCCTAATTGAGCAACAAATTTCCCTTACTTTACCTAATTGAGTGAAAAATTCTTTTATCCAATGAATGTTTTTCTATTTGTCTACTGTGCATGAGTTTTGTTTAATATTTACTTTATTAGCTTACTTTTGCTAATTCACTGATAAAATTTGATATACAATGACAGGTTTGCTTACTATGCCCAGTTCAGTGATAAAATTTGCTATAACAATCATAGATTTGTTTAATTTTTCTAATTGAGTGATAAAATTTCCTATGAGAAATTTATCTCTGAAATTTGTATCATATCATTCATTTTTTTAATTTTCATATATATAGGAGAACAATTTGAAGCACACAGATGAAGAGAAAAAAACATACCGAATGCTGCTAGGAGAAATTCAGGATAAATATGAAGATGAACATGAACATGAACATGAAGATGCTGATTTTCAGCAACAGAATCAGGCTGAAATTTCTGAAATAGAAGAACAAACATTGACTGAAGACAAATCCAAACATAAAATATGGGAACCAATTCCACACGAAATATGCCCCGAAAAGAAAAAGAAAACAGTACCCTTTGAATCACAAAAGAGTGAAGGAAACAAAGTTGACAAAGAGCCTGAAGTGGATCCAAATCTGGTAGAAGTACTTGTTTTTGAGAGGATAGAAGACAACATGCTCAAAATGGAAAAGTTAAAAATGGAAAGGGACATCTTTCAAACTACAAATGATAACCTACAGCAGCAACTCAACAAGCTGAAAAAGGAAATGCAAGAACAGCACAAAAAACAAATGCAAAGGAAAGATGAAGAAATCAAAATACTCCATGAGAGAATTGCAACAATTGCTGAGGCAAACAAGTACTCGGAAGAACAACACACACAACAGCAGCCTGCAATGAAGAAATTGAAAACTTCAAATGAAATTTTCAACTTCCTACCAGAAAAATCAAGGCAAAATCTCATTGCACATATGGCGAATACAAAAAAACAAGTAACAATCTTCTCTCTTGACTTCTGTAGTTCACTTTTGCCCACTGTTTATCATTAACTCATTTTGAATTTATAAATATCAAATATTCCAAAAATATTAATAAATTTATTATTCCAACACTAATAACCTTTTTTTCAAGGATCAGCCAGTGTGGCAAGGATCTCACCATGGAACCTATGTCTACTTAAATGACATTGACAAAATATTGAAGGGCCAAGATTTGGCAGGCATTGTAAGTTGAATTTGTAACTCATTAAAATAACATTTTAGTGTTTCATTTATATTAATTCCTTGTTTTGTTTTTTGTTTTCAACACAGGTAATAGATGCATATGCAGAACACTTGCTTGCACAAAAACAAGGAACAACATCATTCGTATTCATTTCAAGTTGCCATGTAAGTAACTACTTTGCTTAAATGAGGAACGACACTTGTTTTGTTTTTTTGTCAGTGTATAACCTCTGTTTGCTTAACTGAGTAACTAGTTTCAAACATATGACACTACCTTCCCTCTTCAATTGGCCATGTTTCCTAATTCAAAGCTTGACATGTGAAACAAAAAGTCAAGCAAACCAAACTAGAATTTCTAACTCAGATTTCATAATCACTATTATATATTTTGACCTTGTTATTGTGGCGCCACAGTATGAGTAAATCCCAGACTTTGATTACAAATTCTGGGCACTTTTTTGGGTTTTTGAAACTACTGTATATGATATTGAGAACTTCAACAAATATTGAGATGTGTTGAAATTGAAATAGCTTGATTATATGCTATGATGTTGCATGACATAGTTCACTTTCATTTTGTTAGTGGTGAAGCCTCATAGAGCTCTTGTTTCATGTAATTTATTAAGTAACGGACAACTTTCATTACAACTATGGAATGAAGAGAATCATGATATATATATATATATATATATATATTAGTAGATGTGCACACTCACATGAGTGTACTTGAAATAAGTAGTCTGGATATATTGCCTGTTACAGATCATCTATGGATATTTATAGAATGAAAGAGAAGCATAGTATAGATGTATTAGGGGATATAAAGATCCATTTCACATGGAGGAGAAAAAAAGGCCTCAAGACATCAATAGATGTGTTCCCTTTATATGTAGTATAAATGAATTTTGCAATGCACTAATAAATTTTGATATGGATTGATAAAATTTTGATCACAGTGACAAAGTTTCATACTCACCACCTATTTAATTTGAAAAAGTTTAAAGTTAAATTAACATTATTTTTTTTATTTATATTTGTTAGCACTTGTTTACTACAACAGATGAGGAAGCAAGAACACGAATGCTCAACGAAATAATGCCTGAAGCAATGAAAGCAAGATACCTTCTGTTCCCCATTCACCAAAATTTTCACTGGACAATACTTGTCCTTGACATTGAAGAAGCTTCATGGAAATTCTACAATTCGATGAGACCAAGGGGAGCACTGCCTAAAGATCCACACTTCAATGCTGCAAATGAAGTGGTAAAAATCTTTTCACTATCAAACTTACCATTAATCCAATACATAATATTTGATCCATGCTTAATTATACATCAAAAATTTATACATTAATATATTTATCATTCTTCAAATCCATGGTTTCTCATCAATATTTTCAACTGACTTTCTAATACAACAATTATACAAATGAATATGTTGCAGAGACAGATTATTGAAAAATGCATAAAGCATGAGAACCCAACTCTAATTCACCCTGCTAAATTTGAACAACAGACAGACAACGTCATCAACAGCCCACAACAAGATGACACATCGTAAGTTTATCAATAACAAAACACTATTATTAAAATAAAAAAAAGCAACAAAACCAAATTATAATATTTTTTTTTCAAAATGTTTTTGCAGGCTTGATTGCGGAATCCTTGTTTGCTACATCAGAAGGCAATATGTTTCCAATAAAAACATAATGCCTACTTTTACCAAGGAAGAATGCAATCAACTGAGAGCTGATATGTTAACTGTCTTCTTGACTGACCAACAAGCTGCTCAACGACAAATACCTGATCAAAACATTGATGACTTGCCTCTGCAATAATCAACACATCTGGAATAGAAGAAAACAAACGGACAGTGTTACCTGTATTTTGATATGTTACAGTCTTACCTGTATTTTGATGATTTTGGTTCTTACTTTAATCCAATGAATATTACAATGCTTCGTTGTTACAATGTCAAAGTTATGGACAGTGCTTGGTTGTTACAATGTCAAAGTTATGGACAATGCTTGCTTGTTACAATCTCAAATTTGCTTCAATGAAACGTTCAGTCTTTTTTAGCCATATCGTTACCAGACCTGGTTTTTCATATCAGTCTTGTTATCCAAATTTCATTCAAAAAATTGATTCTAATCTGAGTATTTGTGTTGAATTTAAAGGTTAATAACAGGTTTGGAGTCACTACACTGATAAGTTTATTTTTTATAGTGTTTTGTTTACCCTGATAAATTTACCAATGTTCAAACGAAAAAACCAGCGACTCTCTCTCCCTCTCTCATTCTTTTTCCCCAATTCAAGTAAACAAAACACTATAAAAAATAATAAAAATTTTACCTAATTGAAAACTAAAACACAAGCACTATTACATTGTCCAAATTAGAAATTAAAATACTGTTACAATTTGTAGATATTCCCAACTTTGAGAATGAATGTAAGAACATGCCATCCTTGGTGATTTCTGAATAATTAAAACCATTTGATACTTCAGTTAAACAACTCAAACATCCAAAGCTAGCTTCTAAGTGACCACAAAACAGTATGCAGACTAAGAACTTGTTGCTAAACCAAATAAACATGGTAGTTGATTTAAAAAAATTTACTTTTTAAAGCAATTGACACAATAGATATACAATTATGTATTCTAGAGATTTGATCTACACCTTTGTATTGTGGAAATTTTTCCTGGGAAAACTAGATAACTCCATACAATGATAAATTTATCACTGTAGAAAAGAACATTTGCTTGGATATGACAGTGATAAATTTATCAACCACTGACATAAATGTAATAAACCATCAACTCTTCCCACACAATAAGTGATAAATTTATCATTCTTCAAAATAACAAAATTCAAGAATCACATTAATGGTACATTTATCATTCTTACAAAAAAATAACCCATCAACTTGTCCAAACCAACCATTGATAAATTTATCACTTTATAAAATACCAAAAAACAGCAACTACATTTAACCCAAATCAAATAACATAAATATGTGAAACTTAATCCTGTAAAAATATCAGCAAAAAATATAATTTCTGATCAACAAATTCCTCAATCATTCAATGCGAGTACCAAAATGATACATCTTTCAAAAAATACTCAATCATTCAATGCAAGTAACACCTCTCAACTCTCAAACAAAATAATTCAATTAAAATCAATACAATTAAAGCAAAGCTTGTTTACATGTCTTCCGATTATGAGTTCCCATCTTTCCACACCTACTGCATCTAATTCTCTTGATTTCGCCCTTAGAAGGTATTCTCTCCGTTCTTGGACGTCCAGTTGGTCTCTTACAAAGAGGAGGTCAAACAACGTCATCATCAACAACTACATTTGGCTTCCACATACTAGGAACTGGATAGACAGAATGTGAATAAGAATCATAATAACTACTAACACGGTAGTAATCATCAAGAAAGCAATTCAGATCCTTCCCACTCCTCTTTATAGCACAAAAACCATGTTTGCAAGGAAAAGAATCAATTTCCCACAATCGACAAGAACAACAACGTTTCCCAATATCAACCATAACTGAATGATCCAATTGGATTTCATAAATGTCATCGCTACATTTCTTAACTATCCATGCTTTTGTATCATTAAAAGCTTCTTCCAACTTTTTCTCTACAAAAGGACAAACAATACGATTCCACTTATTCCCAACTTCGCTCCTTCTTGAAAATTGCTCCATTAGTTTCACCCGTATAGCATCAACAAGACTAGTTGAAAACAAATGGCATTTCATCCCTAATCCATGAATTAAAAGATTCTGCAGCATTTGTGCACATTTCACCATACCTCTTGCCTTGAAAATAAGCGTTACACCAACACTCATTAGGCAAATCCTCAAGAAACCTCTCAACACTACGACCACAACGACCCTTAAATTCTTCAAATAGCTCATTAAACAACTCAACAGTAGGAGCATATGCACATCTACTAAAAAGAGTAAGCAAATACTCTTTTGATTCACGACTCTTCACTGACAAATAAGTCTTCAAGTTTGTCTTCAAATGCATTAGACAAAAAGAATGACAAGAAAACGGAAAGAACTCAGCTAAAGTTTTCAGTAAACCTCCATGTCGATCAGTAACAAATGCAATATCCCTCTCCGGAGTCAAAATACCTAATAACTTTGATAAGAACCAATGTCAACTGTCATAACTTTCACCATCAACAATCGCAAAACATAACGGATACAAACCTACAAACAAAATATATATATACAAGTTATCAGTAACAAATTAAAAAGATTACAAAAAGAAAATCAAAACACAAAGTATATAACACATAGCACCAGCCATAGATAAATTTATCACTGTATAAATATAAAAATTTAACAAAAAGTATACAGCATAAATTTATCACTAATAGATTGACCATACTCAATTATCAGCACTCTCCAGTAACAAAAATGATAGAATTATCACTATTTCAATAATAATAACACATAAACACAAAATATACCTTGGTTACCATCTTTCGCCGTAGCAGCCAATAAACAACCTTTGTGTCTTCCTTTCAAAAAAGTTCCATCAAGCATCAACACAGGCCTATAATACTTGAAACAATGAATACATGCCTCAAAAGCGAAAAACAAGCATTTGAAATGTCTTCCTTTACTATCAATATCAAATTCCATATCAAAAACACTCCCCGGATTGCAAGCATTAGCGGCATCAACATACCAACGAAGATCATCAAATGATGATGTATAGTCACCAAAAACAAGACCCAATGCTTTTTCAACACCCATCCGAGCTCGCCGATAAGAAACTTCTGTTCCATAATAGTCCTTGAAATCACAAACCACCTCACTAACCGATGTCAAAGCCTTGTTACGAATATCATTAGAAATTAGCCCACCAATCATACTTGAAGTCATCCTAGCATGTTTAATTGTACGAAAAGAAGATCCACAAGTATGAACACCATCAAATTGTTTAATAACAAAAGCTTTACTATAATTTTCCACTCTAGCATGCACGCTCCATAAACATCCCAAATCAGCCCTTCTCTTACAATGAACAGTGACACGATCCTTATCATTCTTAACAAAATCAAAATTAAAATCGGAATGAATAGAATACTTTGACAACGCATCTCGAAATTCAACAAATCCTTGAGCAAACCTTTGTCCCACTCCTTTCATACAATTAACCCACCCATCGGAGAGCAAAGGTTTCTGTTGATTTGAATAAAATGAAGGCAAAAAATCAGTTTCACAAACAACACTACTACTACTACTACTACTACTACTACTAGCTTCACCATCACAAATCATATAACCTTCACCCAAAGAACAACACTTTACAAAAACATCAATACGATGAATATCACAAGAAAGTGCCAGTCCAACCATAACCTCCAAATCCTCTTCACTTTCTAAACCACAAGAAGAATGTCCAACCATTGAATACGATATATTCAAAGAACTACCAACTAACTCACTCCACTTTACACACAATTATATACTAAATCCTTGAAATTAAATCCATCATTATACTTGATAACCAATGTCACACCTCTAAACTTACACATAAGAAATAAACAATTCTCCATCACTATAAATCCTGCAACAAACAACAATTACATTTCAGAAAACAACTCAAACACCCTAAAACAAATTCAAATACAGTGATAAAATTATCTCCTATTACCATACTCACTCATAAATTTATCACTGTTGAAAAAGTTAATCCAACATCACCCCCAAAACACACAGTGATAAAATTATCACTGTATAAAATAACAAACCAACACCTGTGTTCAATCAACACAATTTCGTAACCAAGAAAAAATAAAAATCTAAAATTCAATCGACAAATACATATCTCAAAACTTTCAATATCATGATCAAAACACAAATTCAATCGCAACAGAAACAACAGAGTAACAACAATATCACCACAAAATCAAAATCACCAACTCAAACTAAAAAGAATCAAAACATTGAAATTGAAATCAAAATCAAACATACCAGTCGACCTAACTCCACAACACCACAAATCAGAAAATGTAGCTATACACCAAACGCGAAATTGCAAATAGGAAGAATCACCAAACATGCAATCGCAAATCACAAATCACGAAGATACACCAAGCGCAAAATCAGAAATCACGAAGCTCCACAAATCGCGCAATCAGAAATCACGAAGCTCCACAAATCGCGAAATCAAAAATCACGAAGCTCCACAAATCGCGAAGATACAGCAGCAAATCATGAAGTTCCACAGAAATCCAAATCACAAACACAATATTTTGATGGAAAATCCAAACAGAAACGCGCCAGAACAGAGGAGGGGTAAAATGGTACAAAAAAAAAGTCTCAAGACCTGTTGGTGCACAAGATCAAAAGTCAGGACTAAGAGGGGAATAAGTGAAAAACTCAGGACCGGCCAGTAAAAAACCCATAAGACTGTCCCTTGGGATAATCGTCTAGTCCAAACAGTCTTCTCATCACTATAAAATGGATTAAGTTATTCAAGCTTGATTCGTTAAAAATTCTTTTGAGATCAACTTGTTATATAAGCAAACTAAGCTTGAGTACATTTTAAAACTCATTAAGTTTTTTAACCAATATTGAGTAACTTACTACTCGGCTTGATTTATATATACTAGAAAAAGCTAAAATACTCGTGATACTTTAAAAGTTCATTTAATTCATAATATAAACAAGTCAAACTTAAACATATTTTAAAACTCGTTAAGTTTTTAAATTAATTTTGAATATTTAACACTTAGCTCATTTACTGTCCTACTCACGATCGGTCTTATTTAAGATAATTTCATTTGTTATATTTTTTAAATCTTTATATGTAGATCATTTTTATAAAAAAAAAATAAAAATAAATAGATGTTTTAATAATTATAGTCATATAGTTTTATCATATTTATTTTCAAAGAACATACCTATTTTCGTAAGATAAATATAATGAAATCATGTGATTATGTCAAATTATACTTAATTCATTTTTAAAAAAGAAATGTGAAAAAAATAATGAAAAATTCCATGTGTATATATGATAATAGCTCATATTCACGGTCTATTAATCAAAAAAATTGAATCATAAATTTCAAATACATATGATTTGTTTGTTTGGTAATGTTTATATTTATAATTACATAATTTTAAAAACTATGAACAAAACTTATTTGGTGTCTGTTTTTGTTTTTAAAAAATTTATAAATAATTTACAAATTTTGCTAAAAATTTTTAACCACAAAAAAGTAAGTTTCACTTGTTTGATTATTATTATTATTATTATTTTTTTTTTTCCTTCAACTTATTCCAACCACTATCTATTCTCATCACCATTATCATATACCATTGCCAGTGACCACCTCTCGCATCAACGAACCATCTTCCACTTAGCATAATTACCTTCAGCCATGACCTTTACCAGAAACCACTTTTGGTCACCACGAATTACCTGTCATTGGTGGCATCTATCTTTAACGTTCGACAACTACCTTTGGTCATCATTTTCAACCATCAACAATCACCTCATGCAATTCACTCATTTCACTTGTTTTCAAAACAAAATTTTAAAACATGTTATTTATTTTTGTTTTTACCAAAAATAAATATAAATATATGTAATATTTTTTGTAAACTAAAAACAATAAACTGTCAAACGACACCATATAGTTCAAATTACAGTTACAAAATCAAATCTTTGTTTATGTTATTTCTTTTACATTCAAAGAGCATAACTTTGACCCAATAGAAAAGAACAAAGTCTCTCTCCCTAGGCGATTTTCAGCATCCCTTCGGTGACTTTTTTTACATATTTTCAGCAAGTTTCAAAAACAATTTCAAAGTGTAGATTTAGATTTAGATTTTTTTATTCCTAGAAAGAGTGGCTAGAAAGAATGGTCGCATGTTCTCTTAATCCTCGTCTTTTACTATTGTAGGTATTCTTTTTCTTCAACTCTATTTTCGGTGGTGACTGAAGGTCAACAGCAGAGTTGGGCAGTGACAATAAAGACAATAGTGAACAGAGACGATGGTAGAGACGGCGAGTGTGGACATTGTTTTGATGCATACGTCTTGTTTTTCCAAACAATCACTACAAGAAAATACACTTTTGGCGACCAATTTTGCTGACTAAAAATATTTTGGTTGCCAAAAGTTGTGGAATTGGCGACCAAAAATTATGTTAGTCAGTAAAAGTACAATATTTAGCTACTAAATTTTTTTAGTCGGGGTATATTGATTATTGGCGACTAAAAAAAAATTTAGTCGCTAAAAATGTCACAATTGGCGACTAAAAAAAATTAGTCGCTAAATTTGCCACAATTGGCGACTAAACAAATATTTTAGTCGCTGTATTGATAGTTTTGGCAACTAAAATTATTTAGTCGCTGAATCAAAAATAAAAATTTGCTTTTTATCTTTGGCGACCAAAAGTTTGGTCGGCAAAAATTTAATTTCAGCGACTAAAAAATATTTTAGTCACGGAGTCACTGTCTAGATAGTTTTGGCAACTAAAATTATTTAGTCGCTGAAATGAAAAATAAAAATTTACTTTTTTCTTTTGGCAACCAAAAGTTTGGTCAGAAAAAATTTAATTTCAGCGACTAAAAAATATTTTTAATCGCTGTATAGATAGTTTTGGCAACTAAAATTATTTAGTCGCTGAATCAAAAATGAAAATTTACCTTTTATCTTGGCGACCAAAAGTTTGGTCGGCAAAAATTTAATTTCAGCGACTAAAAAATATTTTAGTCGCTGTGTAGATAGTTTTGGCAACTAAAATTATTTAGTCGCCGAATCAAAAACAAAAATTTACTTTTATCTTTGGCGACCAAAAGTTTGGTCGGCAAAAAAATTTAATTTCAAGCGACTAAAAAATATTTTAGTCATTGTATAGATAGTTTTGGCAACTAAAATTATTTAGTCACCGAATCAAAAAAAAAATTTACTTTTTCTTTGGCGAGCAAAAGTTTGGTCGGCCAATTAATTTCAGCGACTAAAAAAATATTTTAGTCGCTTAGATAGTTTTTGCAACTAAAATTATTTAGTCGCTGAATCAAAAATAAAAATTTACTTTTTATCTTTGGCGACCAAAAGTTTGGTCAGCAAAAATTTAATTTCAGCGACTAAAAAATATTTTAGTCGTAGTATAGATAGTTTTGGCAACTAAAATTATTTAGTCCGCTGAATGAAAAAAAAAATTTACTTTTTATCTTTGGCGACACAAAAGTTTGGTCAGAAAAATTTAATTTCAGCGACTAAAAATATTTTAAATCGCTAATAGATAGTTTTGGCAACTAAAATTATTTAGTCGCCGAATCAAAACATAAAAATTTACTTTTTATCTTTGGCGACCAAAAAGTTTGGTCGGCAAAAATTTAATTTCAGAGGACTAAAAAATATTTTAGTCGTGTGTAATAGTCACGAATGAAAAATAACAAAATTTCTTTTTTCTTTGGCGACCAAAAGTTTGGTCGGCAAAAATTTAATTTAAATTGACAAAAAACTATTTTAGTCGCTTGTATAGATAGTTTTGGCAACTAAAATTATTTGGTCAGCGCGAATCAAAAAAAATTTACTTTTTATCTTTGGTCGACAAAAGTTTGGTCGGCAAAAATTTAAATTTCAGTGACTAAAAAATATTTTAGTCGCTCATAGATAGTTTTGGCAACTAAAATTATTTAGTCGCTCGAATGAAAAATAAAAATTTCTTTTTTATCTTTGGCGACAAAAAGTTTGGTCGCGAAAAAATTTAATTCAGCGATTAAAAAATATTTTAGTCGCTTGTATAGATAGTTTTGGCAACTAAAATTATTTAGTCGCGAATGAAAATAAAAATTTACTTTTTATCTTTGGCACTAAAAGTTTGGTCGGCAAAAAATTTAATTTCAGCGATAAAAAATATTTTAGTCGCTTATAGATAGTTTTGGCAACTAAAATTATTTGTCGCCGAATGAAAAATAAAATTTCTTCTTTTTATCTTTGGCGACCAAAAAGTTTGGTCGGCAAAAATTTAATTTCAGCGATAAAAAATATTTTAGTCGCTGTATAGATAGTTTTGGCAACTAAAAATATTTAGTCGCCGAATGAAAATAAAAATTTCTTTTTTATCTTTGGCGACAAAAGTTTGGTTGCAAAAATTTAATTTCAGCGATTAAAAAATATTTTAGTCGCTGTATAGATAGTTTTGGCAACTAAAATATTTAGTCGTGAATAAAAATAAAAATTTACTTTTTATCTTTGGCGACCAAAAGTTTGGTCGGCAAAAAATTTAATTTCAGCAACTAAAAAATATTTTTTAGTCGCTGTATAGATTAGTTTTGGCAACTAAAATTATTTAGTCGCATAATGAAATAAAAATTTCTTTTTATCTTTGGCGACAAAAGTTTGGTCGGCCAAAAATTTAATTTCAGCGAATAATAGAATAGTTTTTG